GGTTTTTTCTCACTCATGTAAGTGAGAAGAGAAAGGGCAAGAGATTGAAAGAGTCATAAAGATGTGTATTCTTCAAAAAAAAAAAATTGAAATCATCATTACATCTTTTCTCACACTTCACCTAAACTAAACTCAATAATTTCACATACTCACATGAAAGTCAAGCAAAAATTAAAATAAAAAATAGGTATGAACGCACTTTGTGCCCTGAAGGAGAACTTCCCATTCATAAAAATCCGCAATTTTGTCATGTTTTAGTTTTTATTGTTTATAACAAATTACTATTATTATAAACAATACACCATGGTTCAATCTCATCAGGTTATTTATAACATTTTATTGATATTTATCGAATATAATCATAGTAATGATCATTCAATAAATTAAAGCCATTTTTAATTGTTCATAAAAAATTGAAATTGTTATAAACAATATTTTATTGTTTGGAGTCATATACAATCATTGACAACTGATCATTGTATTGATATTGGGCTCAGTTTTAAACAATATTAATTACTTAATAAGTAGAGCCTATTTCTGATGTCTTCTTTACTCAACTTATTTTGCAGTCTTTTTATTATAAACAAAAAACGGTTCGACCGAATTTGTTTAAACTTTTCTTAAATCTTCTTCATTCTATTATCTTTCAAATGAAATTTGTCTGGAGTCGATATCTTTACTGGTTCTCGAGATATTAAAAATGAAAAAAAAACCGAACATACGCCCGTACAATTGTACGTACGTACATCCATATATTTTTAAATCTTCTAAGGTGGTTTTAAATGTCTCAAAACGTAAAGATATATAGAAATTACGAATTTTAAAAATCGATCCCATTACAATAACTTCCTCATGAGAAGTTAAAAAAAATGCAAAAAATCAATAAGAAAGTTGATTGAAAAAAAAAATCGCTTATGTCTACACAATGAGGACATTAACCTCATAAAAAAAAATAGCATTAATTAGTCAAATAAACGTGGCTTCTTCCTAACGAAGTTAAAAAAAAATACACGTCATGAGGGATTAAAAGAAACCCGACACGATCAGTGATATTCTATATCGTCAAGACTTTTTCAGAAGCACGCGATTGTAAATTATTTAATCAATTATTTTTTTTATTTCATTTTATTCAGCAAGGTATCAATTGAGAGTAAAGACCTTGCGTGCGTGCACAGAACACTTGATTAATATTTTCGCCGGAGGGATAGTATGCATTGGAATTAAATAGCTTGAACAGAAGAATTATTTTTAACTGATGCTAAGTTCTATAATAAACATGGGCGTTAATCACGGACAAACAATTATCATAATCAAGATTATGCAGGAACGCTATATAACACCCACATAAAATTACAATATACCATGCTTACTTAATTTTCTCAATGAAAAATTTCCTAAAATGGTGACACTCGACGTCACAATTTAAGACTTATGATTTAATATGAAGTAAGATATTTATTTTTGATGTAATCCGATACCGTCCTTAGATACAAATAATATATTAGAGAATTGTTTTATTTATAAATAAATAAAAACTAAGGTGTCTCATGTAGCGATTTAATTTCACTTAACTTGCGAAATAAATCGCGACGTGTTATTTTGACGAATAAGGCTGGATAAAGATGATTGCGTAATATTTTATTCATTAGACTTATACGCGTATCGTGTGTAATCACTTGTAGAGTAAATCGCCAGACCTAATGTGTTACCTTGACCGACAAAGAGAATAGAGAGAAAACAAGACTGATTCACATTCAGTACAGAGTTCATCAGCTTCTTACAACAAATATCCCATTTTTTCCTATGTTCAAATTTAATTTAAAGATAAATAAATAATAATTTATATTAAACGAAACTTGTTCAATCAAATTCATTTATTACATAGTAATAAAATTTTTATCGCTTTGTTTATAAGAAATTTATTTATGCTATTAAGTTTAGTATTTAACCTCACTTTTTATCTTAACTTTATACATTTATTTATTTAATTAAATTAAACTACGAAATCTATTTAAAGAAGTGAGTTAAATTTTTTTTAAATTATTTACTGATACTTAAAAAATTGTTTATTGATTGATCTTTCATTTCGCAAATACAACAACCTTCTTAAGTAAATAATATTTTTTATTGAATTAAAATGTATGTATTTGCAACAAGAATAATAATCGCAATAATCTAATGTAAGCATTAGATTGTAAGGAGTAAGATTAATGGAGAGAAATTTCTAAGAAATAAAAACACTTAGAAAAACAATGGCATTAAAATACAACCTGTGAATAATAATATACATCAAATGCTCCAACTAATTGTGAAACAAGGGCGTGAACGATCGCATATCTAAATAAATGGCAAACTGTTCAATAATTCAAAGGACAAAGACTAGGCCATTAGACACGATACATCAGGAAAAGGAATTAAAGGTAAGTCACATAAGCTTACTTTTCAGCCACCCACGTTATGTTGTCGAATGTAAATGAATTTAATTTTCGTGCTAAGTTGGCGCTACTAAATAAAACCTTCAACAAGAGACATCTAGATTTAGTTACTAATAAAAAGCTATGGATAGTAAAGAAGACTTGAACGATATTGCAGGAAGCATCAGAACCATCACAGTCATAAACAGAAATCTCTAATACCTACAGACACCAATAAATATGAGAGAAAATATGAATTCAAAATATTTTACAAAGAACTTTAATTATTATTATTTTTACTTAATAATTAGCATCTACTGGTTTAAATGATTTTGCAAAGGATTAACAAAGACTTTAATAAATGGGAAAAGGTGGCTGCAAACTTACCTTGCGTCGCCATTTCTGCGGCGCGCAAAAAAAAAGAGATTGCTCAATTAGAAAACGAGTGCACTGCAAACTCTTGAAAATAAAAAAGTAAAAAGCTTTGATAATTAAGCTAAATAGATAGTATTTTTTTTTTTTGTTGTCACTATTAATAACATTTTACTCGCAAATTTATTCCTTTTTTCATTTTCTCCTATGAACGCCATGAATAGAATTATCTTGGATCAAATCCAGATGCAATTATTTGTCACCCTTTAGTCTCAGTTCAGTCTGATAAATGATTGATTTTACATTTTTGTCTCTAAGTTAATTGAATTTAATTTAATTATCCACTTAAAATATTCTGCTATGATGATAAAGTGTTTTGATAAAATTTCAAACATATTGTATTAATTAATTAAAATAACTCTGATGAAAAAGATGTGAAGATATTTTTCTTTTATATTTTTTGTTTGCTAAAGAAAAAACTTGCTAAATGAAAAGTGCTCATGATATAGTATTACTTGTGAATGTAGTATGAATGGTTTGCGATGGAATTATTTGATAAGTGTAAATTCTCTGGGTGAAAAGCTGTTGGTTAATCGTCAGACCGAATGTGCCATTATCATGTACAGAGACATGCTATGAACACTGAGTCTCTCTGTTCGCGTAACTCGGTTAGTCAGTTTGAATTTTTTTTTTTTTTTTTGTCATTCTTCAGACCATATTTCTAACCACATTTGATATGCCTAACGTCTTACTCATCTAATATATTTTCTGAATCGTCAAGTATTATGAGTATTAATATAAAAATTCCACCAACTGATTAGATAGAAAAAAAAATATATTTTTATTGCTCATAAATGTCTGAATGTTCGAGTGACCTATAAATCTTGAAAATAGCATACTTGATTTTATTTAAAAAAAAAAAAAAGATATGTACATATACCTTCTTGTTGATCTTTGAATAAAAATCTATTTTAGCAACAAACTTAAAAAAAATAGCAATAAATAAAAATGTTTATTCCAATTTTTACAATAACACAATTGTTTATTGACCTTGATCTTGATCTAATGTGCAGAAAAAAAAAAAAAGAAATAAATTTTTTTTTATGATCATCTTTAAAACCTGTTTGAGAATTTAAAAGCTAAATTGAATGCTTCAAAAAAGTTGCTTTTGATTACTTAGACTGTCTGACTATTTTGGATATCATTTCCCTAAATGACAACCGGAAATGATTTGATAGTTACAACCAGACTTGCAAATAAAAAAAGAAAATATATAATATTTTTCAACTATGAAAAAATGAATTTTATGTCTGAAAAGAGTTACTTGAAGAGAAACCGTCGTCTTAAAAGATGCTTTTAAGATTTATGTGTCCTCTTGGTTATGCAGAGGCTTCATTTCTTCTTCAATTCAAAGGACAAAAAAAGGGACTGTCAACTTTCCGGACCGTCACAAACGACTCGACGGAATTCAATATGAACGTAGCTTTTCGTGTAGTAATTTGTATTCCCGGTGAATTTCAAGCCCCTTGAAAGCATTTGGCAAAGTGCCCTACACTCTGATTGACGAAAATATTTCGTTTTCCGTCGGTTAAGTTGAATAGTCTTTTTTTTACTTTTTTGGACGAAAGTATATATTGGAAATAATAGTCACGTTAAGCTTACGTTTGATATTTTCTAAATAGCAATTGTGATAATAGTCCAGTAGCCATACCTAGGGATTAATTATACAATCACTACAAATCCTAGTGTTTTATTTTAATACATTAAAAGTGTTTTAATATCACGTCACCCATTGGATTAACATTGTGTTGTTTTTAAAACATTTTCAAGTGCTTTAAATGGATGACGTTATATTAAAACACTTTGAATGTATTAAAATAAAACACTAATATTTGCAGTGATGATGCTAAAAATTTTTTGACGACGGATTCTTGTAGTAGTCACTGAGGAGAGCATTTGTAAAAAATTTTTTCACTTGGAATTTATTATTACTATTGTTTAAACAATATTAAACATTTGCAACATGCGTTTATCTCCTGTCTTTAATGCTGTCTTTAGTGTAAAAGCAATAATAAGAGCATTAAAATAATCCGATCGAAAGGCGAACGTAAATATGGATGAAATTTAATAGCATATAATATATATATTATGTTAATTTCTATCTTCTATTGATAATGATGATGTTGATAAGTAATTTAAGGTCATGTAACTTACCTGGAAGTGGAGTATGATAGTCCATATTAAACCTAACGTTAGTTTAGGATTTCCATCAACAATATCTTCAGCTCTTATGTTAACAAGTTTGATTTTTTTGTATCGTAGAAAGTCCAGGGCCATTTGAACATTCTGCAGCATGTGAAAACGCATTCGACCTCTTTCTCGTGGCTAAAAAATTAACGAAAAAAGAAGATTAACATGATGTCAAGTACAACAGTGATATAAAAAAAGAGTATTGACTTAAGAAAAGGTTTACTTTTGAAAAATAATTTTTTGCTATCTTTTCTTTCAATTAAATTCTCGATCATAAGATCATGTATTCTTTAAAATCAACACAATCAAAAATAAAAAATATTTTATTAATAAATTACTTAACTCCTTTTATTAAAATATTTCGATATTAATAAAAATAATTGAAATTGTATTTGATAAAATTATTAATAGCAGTAGGTGTCATTATCATTTTTTATCTTATAAAAATTTCTTCTCATTATGATAAAAAACAAGCTATTCATCAATTCACTAATAAATCAATCTTGAGTAAATATCTATCCACTATTAGCAATTCATATTGATTATCCATAAATTAATTGATTGATAGCTAATAAATAATTTTTAAAAAAATTTCTCAATAATTCCATCCATCCAATCTTGTCAATGTTGAATTTTATGAGTTTCTTTTTCCAATAGCAGTAGAAATAGGATGATAAGACAGACAGGTATTGATCGTACTTTCCTCCAAAGTTAGATTGCACAAAATAGACGATGGTAGAAACTACGATTACCTAATAATTGTAAGTTAACGAGTCTAGAAGGGTTAATTTGACTGAATATTTTACCACTGTACTAGTACTCTACATACATTTAAATGAATAGTATGTAAGATTAATTGAAGTGTCAATTTACTGCCATGTTTATAAGCGTGAATCAAAGGTTTTCATAGCTCAAATGAAAGCAGAAGAGCTAAAAAAGCAAAAATCAATTGAATCCCACGGTATATTTGACCCGAAAACAAATCTACACTTGTAAGTCGATAGATTAACATTTAATTGCGTCAGTGGTCACGATTCTTGTATATAAATAATCATGGACAAGTAATTATCGACGCGTCGAGGTGAATCACGAATAGCAATCGATTGCTTCGCGGAATCCTCAGAAGTCTGTGTACCAGTACAAGCTAAACACACGACCTGATTAGCTCCAATTGATCCACGAGTGTGAGAGTATCGAGGATAATCATTGCGACCTGTACTTCAAGTGAAAATCATTAGTCAAAGTCCAGGTCAAAGAGAGCCGATCATTGATGCCGATACGAATAAGAAAAATGTTTTTTGCTTCAACATGTAATGTTGGATATAAAAAATCGCGATTTGAGTTTGATAAGATCTGTTTTATTCAGACTATTTTTGGATGTTATTTGAGATAAAAGAGATCGTTAGTGAATCGTCTTTTAATTAAAATAAATTTAATAGAATATAAAAAATTATTGTTACATAATTAATAGGTAAAAGATGGAAGTTAAAATGGTAAATTCTTATTTATGTTTAGAAGAATGATGATAAGAAAAATAGAAAAAAAAAATCATTTTACAATTCAGATGCTAAACTTTTCTTCTTTGATAATAATAGTAATACTTTTAGTGACTTTGACAAGAATTGTTGGAGTATTTATTTTTGGATAGATGGATGAATAAAATTTGTAGTCTTGAATTAATTTGCTTGACCTGTGTGCTATTTTGAGAAATTTTTTTTATCAGTCAGAATTAATAGATTATGATTTGAATTTAAAATATATTTTTATTAGAATTAACATCAGAGTATGGACAGCATTTGAAGTACACTCGAGACTTGACGAAATTTTAATTTTTATCACAGTTGTAAAAATAACATTATGTTATTTTTAAAAATTGAATATAATATTTGTAAGTCAGTGTTTTTTATGTAATCATTTTTGTTAAATTATTTTTACTAATTTTGAACTGCAAAAAATTATTTTAGGAATTTTTGTTTGAAAAAAAAAATCAATACTTACAAGGTGTTCGCCAGAGAGCACTTCCAGGAGAGATATGAGGTTGTGTCCATCTCGAAGATCTTCGAATAAATCTCCGACATGTCTGCTTGCCTATAAAAATACAGATTGCATTAGTATTTATCTAAATCCAATTTATGTATTTAATTTTTTTTATAATAAAATAAAATGAAATACAAAGAAAAAATAAACTGGAACTGCAATTCAGCTAAAGCAAAATAAAAGTACGAAGAAAATAAAAACATTAAATCGACATTGAAAAATGCCAAAGAAATTATGACTGAAATATTTTAATTATTAACATAAAAACATAAATTTAATTTAAAAGTACTTTGAAGTATCAGCTTTTAATTAAATAATAAAATATTAACAGATAATTAAAAATAATTATTGTTCTATATGTCACATTGAAGAATGTTTTTTTATTAAAACCGCATGTTGTCGATGCGTAAAGCGTGACGAGAATACATGAGAGAGAACTTACATATACGAAAGGAGTTATACGTGCAAATACAACAGAATGCTCATAACATACAAAATAAGAGTCGATTGTAAAAGAAGAAGATAAAATGAAGTCAATAGGCTATAAGGAACAAGTGTGTAGTAGAAAAGAAAATAAATGAGAGCTTCTGTACAATAGAAAAATAAGTCGAAGATTTGTGTATTGTAAATCATGCAACACACTCCTCTTTATGAGGAACAAAGTGCAAACTTACAGTAGGAGAACAGCATGGCTGGTTGTTGACGACTACACACACATGTAGACATGTGTAAGTCTGAAAATGTTTACCAACACCAAATGTTAGATACAGAGTTACCCTTTTATTTAATTAAACTAATTGTTTTTAATAAAAAATATTTGTAATAAATATTGTGGTCAAGTTTTTATTTTATAAGAAATTTTTTATTCAATTTTTATCAATTAAATTTATTTAATACAAGCTTTTGCCAATTTTTTATATTATAATTAATATCATATTTTTATTTATTGACCAAGGCTAGACTGTAGCAACTTTAAATCACTTCAAATTTTTCTCAACAAACTGTACATTTTTCATTTGTTTCTTTCAGGTAAAAATGTTTATAAATATGCAAAAAAAATAGTATACACATTAGAAAACAAAGATTAATAGTGTAAATACATTAATAGTCTTATAATAAATAATATTTTGGTAAAGGACTCGTGATAAGTACACCGACCATGTCATCTTAAAATTTCTTAAAAAATTATTTATCATAAATAAATAAATTTATTATACAATTTTTAATGCACTTACACTATTAATGTTTATACGATTTTTTTTTGAATACTTAAAAATATTTTTTACATGAAAAAAAAACGAGAAAAAAAATTGCATAGTTTATTGAAAAAATTTTAGGTGATTTGAGCTTAAATATGAGAAAAAAAATTAGAACATGAGTGAGTTAAAAATGATTTCATACCTTGACGTATTTCCAATGCTATGAATTGCATGAAAAAATACAGAAAAAATTCATGAGAAAAATAATTTCATCATAAAAGTAAACTACAATCCATTAAATTAATTCATATCGTGTAAAAGAAAAAAAAAAGGATTATCTTCACATGTGTAATAATTGTAAGTAGATAAATGACAAGAAGCACTTTCAATTAAACTTGGTTGTGATTTCATAAAAGTGAAATTTATAAAACAAACAAAAGTTAATAGTTATGATATCATGTGATGGGAATAATTGTTGAAATGAATTATACAAAAGCATAATATGACTTTTGAAATGTAAATGAACAATTGAAAGACTCTAATGACTTTGTTATACGGTTATTCAAGTGGATTAAATTGTAATTTCACACGGGAATACATATAAAGAAGTTTGGTCAACAGAGAGAAGAAGTTGGTTAAATTTTTGGACATTGATAATTTTTGTATACTTTATTTTAATGTGTCTGCATTCCTGAAATTCAATTGCCACAATTTTGTTCTTCGTAAAGACTTTACTTTAAAACGCATGAGTGCAAAACGAGTATAATTAAATGTGGACTGTATCTTCATCCAGCTTGAATTACATTTGACGTCAATGGGACCACTTATTTTTTGTCATCATCAGAACATTTCTCAGACTTAAATTCAACTTAAAATACTTTTCTTAATAATATATTTACCCTTTATATAAAAAATATACATTAAATGATACGTTTTTAGGTAATTTATCGGTCATAATCATTCCCAGAATCCTTTTCAATTACCTTAAGTATCATAATTGTTACCTAAATGACCAATTTTCTCTTCATTTACCTCTTAAGAATCAACTTAAGACAATTCTTTTAATGAAATTCTTCCTAACTAATATTGACAAATAATTATCCAGTAATAAAGAATTTTCATAATGAAGAAAAAATTTATTTTTATTAGAAAAAATCTCATTTAAGGTATTTCGATTACTCCGGGTTGTATAAAAGAAAACCCAGGGACCTTTGAAATGAAATTAATATTTTTTATTAAATATACACACTAGCTTTTTACATATTGATTAATTTGTCTTCCATTACTTTGAAAAACATAAAAAAATTCAAAAAAAAAGATTAATCCTTATTTTATAGTAGAGTTAAGATTAAAAAAATGATTGAGTTCTAAACGATTAATCGATTTTTTTTTCATTGAAATAAATCTTTTATTTTCTAATAATTTTTAATTCTAATGCAGTAAAACAAATATTAAGAAAAAATAAATCTCCATCGAAATACCTTAAAAAATTTGTCTTTCATTTTATGTTAGAAGAAAAAATCATTTCATATCGTCATGACTTTGGTTATTATTCAAAAAGCATCATTATTATGTTGAGTAATAAGAAAAAAAATTCCATCAAAAGTTTTCACTTTAGAATCACACTAAAGAATAAAATTAAAATTTATTTGAAAGCATCATGTCAATATATTTTTAATAAATTGTTTTTAGGAATTAGTTTTTGATTACCGAAAAAAAAAAAATAAATAAATAAAAATCATGAAAATTTACACATTATTTTCTTTTATGATTCCCTTCCTGTCGGTTCATTACGAAATTGAACGTTGAAATTACCCGAAGAGAGCACCCACTTGTAGATAATTGCGAAATATAAAAGAGAATGAAAGGGAATGAGATGGTAGGGCTGGTAAAGGTTTTTGCTCTGGACCATTCGATTGGTTGGCAAACTTGAGAATTGGTAGGCGATGAAGGTGTCCGAATAAGGTTAGACTCAAGCAAAGCAACTGTATGATGTGGGCGCCATGGAATATCACAGCTGGTGTCTTGTGGTGGCTATTCAGTATCTTGGTAGATTAACGAGAAATACAACCAGACACCATCAGAAATTAATAATAATCTTATAACTATAAAATACCTTTATATTAGTGTGCACGCAATCGTTAAAATCAGTTAACATCAAATGAGCCAATTATATTTCATCCATGACTCATTTATGATTTTTCTCAGTACATTTTATATTTTGGCTTCAAAAATCCGCTTAAAGAAAAATGAGAGACAGGTTGTGAATTGCTAAGTAATTACTACGTTGGTAAAAACAAGATTAATTAAAATAAGAAAATCATTCTGATTGCTCAGTTTTGTTTTTTAATTGTCAAGAAAAAATTATTTTTTTAAAAAGTCAATTTTATTTCAGATGTTTCTCCAAAAAAGTTGAGTGCAAATTATTTTCAAGAATTTTTGGATTAATCATTTTTCGATTAAAATTAATTATTCATCATTTTAATTATTATATTTAGATTATGAATGTCTATAATATTTTTTAATAATTTTTAACAATTCATTAAAAAATAACCAATATTATTATAGTTTTAATACTTTTTTTCTATGTGAGCATAATGTCCCAACATTTCACGTAAATCTTGAAGTGTTAGTTTGTTTATGAAAAAAATGCATTAATGTAATGGGCACTCATCCTTTGAAATAATCTTATTTATTATCAATAACATCCTCATCCTTAAAAATCATTTCCAACATTCAATTTTAATTCATATTTTTAATTTGACTGATTCATTAATATTCATTGTTTTAAAATATTTACAATTTTTTTTTAGAAAAATTAAAAATGATTACTTCAATTACAATCCTGTCTAAAAGTAAAATATTTATTTCAACACTATTTACTATAATTTAAAAATTTTTTAAAAATAAATATCAATAATTAAAAAATAATAATAATAATAAATCTCTCCAACATGAATAAAAGAAATATTTGATACGACAAAAAAATGATCTATTCATTAAAAAAAAAATAGTTATTAATCCTTGTTGTTGAATTTATTCATCAATTCACAGGTAATTAATACGTCTCAAATGAAAAAAAAAAATTTTCACTCAAATAATGCAAGCAGCAACTTTGAACTACTCAGCAAAAAAAAATACTCAACAAAAACTAGAAATCATGAAAACTATAGCAGCAAGGATAGATCAACACCTTGACTCTGCTACTTTAGTTGCATCACGAAGGTCAGCCCGTCTAACAACAATAAGATACTCTATAACGGATTGCGAGGGAGTCTCCACACTCATGAACACAAAGGAGAGTACATACGACAAAAGATATAAATTCCCATGGCCTTGTTTTCTTCTCAGGATCCGTTTTAGCAAATTAATGAGTAGAAAAGGTGGTTATATTCTTGGGTAAACCCTAGCCTTATTTCTCAGATATACTTAATTCAGCTTGATACTGACTTCATACAGAGAAGCAACTAACAAACAAGCCCATACACATATTCATAACAAGGGAAAAAAAAATTTCAATGAATATTGACAGATTGGATGAGAGAGAAAAGTTGGTGAAAGCGTAGCTCATGTGATCATAAGCTGTCAAATGAGTACGATGATGACTTGAAATAACTCTTGGTCGAGATAATTCAATCCGTATAAGGTCTTGATACTGAGTTTAAACTCAAGTACACCAGTACTACCCACGAGTGAGTCACGCGTCTTAAATGGCCCTTGCGAATCAGAGTAACATTGTATGAATGTCTTCTCTCTGGACATTCGAAGAATTCTCAATGACATAGCTTTGCACTTCCGGCATCCTAGAGATCATTACTGAAACATCACCAATCTATTTTCAAACGCACAAAGGATTTACTTTAGATCCTTTCAACATTTTTATTCACTTTTTTCTTGTCTTTACTTTATTTCATCTTTTTTATTTTTTGCTCTTTAAGGAATTATAGATTAAATGATGATTCACTAACCTTTAGCTAATTTAGATCAATGATTCAATGGCGTGTTAACTAATTTCAAATAAACACTGCAGCAGAGACTAGAATTTACTATTAAATTTATCAAGAGAAAAAAAAACTTTAAATTTACTTTTTTTTTTTCTAATGAATTGGACCAAAGGATGTCTTTATTTATTTTTTAGTTTCAACTATTAACTGACTTCATTAGATCATTAGCAATGAGGTTGGAAAAAAATCAATTATTGAATAAAAGACAAAATTTTGTAATGAAGTCATTACTTGTTTAAGAAGTGTATCAAGAACAAATCATATAACTCTTCTAATAATTATTATTTAAAAGAAAAATTTTATAATCACTAGCTTCAGTCTAATCATCAATATGTATAAAATCTTTACTTGTTCAGGAACTAGAGAGAATAATTGTAAATATTTTATTTTTACTAAAGCTAAATATTTAATCATAATTTTACAGTTTAAGTAAATTAATTCAATCCCATTTATGTTAAATAAAATAAGTTTATTATTAATATTATTACTAAATTTTTTTTTTCTAAGATTGATTTCATTATTCATAGTCCAATAGATATTTGATTTAACTAAATTATATTTTTAATTTAAGTTCTGTAATTTATTATAAGCTGTAACATTTCATTTAGAAAAATATAAAAATGATGATGAATTAATTTTGAATACAATTAGTGAAATATTAAATGATTATAATGACAAAAAAAATAAATAAAGAACCAAATTTTGTTACGAAAATTAATCTTAAAGTATAAAATTATTAATAATAAAATTAAACAATAAAAAAAAAATGTTTTTTTTTCAGAAAGGAAGAAAATGATAATTAAAAATAATCATTCCTACTATTTTCTAATAAGTTAGAAATATTATTTTTATTATATTTTATTATTAACAGTCCTTATTAAAGAATTAGTTTACAATTCTTTTAAATTTCAAAGTTATTTAAACTATTCTGTAAATTATTTATTTTATTTAAGACTCATAAAAATAAAATATCGAAATTTTTTACACATTCAATATTTCAGCAATATTATTCTGCAAATGTTAAAATAATTATTATTATTATCATTATGAAAATAAAATTATATTCTTGGATAGAGAATATTGTATATTGTTACGACATTTTTAAGTTTCCACTCAAACAACCATCTACATGAGCATAAAAACCATAATGTTTAATAAAATTTTCGAAGAAGCCAGTTCGATTATCAGAATATAAGCAATAACACGCATCTCTTGA